TTTTTTTATTAAACAAGAGCGACAATATGCTTTTCTGACGTTCTTGTTCAATAAAAAAAAAATCAAATGCTTCGATTGTTTATATTTTCTATAATTTTATATTTTTTATATATATTTTATATATACCATAATTTTATACTTGATTTTGTTTTTTTTTTTTATTAAATAAGAACGACAAGATGCTTTTCTGATGTTCTTGTTTAATAGAAAAAAAAATCAAATGCTTCGATTGTTTATATTTTCTATAATTTTTTTTTATATATATTTTATATATACTATAATTTTATACTTGATTTTGTTCTTTTTTTTATTAAACAAGAGCGACAATATGCTTTTCTGACGTTCTTGTTCAATAAAAAAAAAATCAAATGCTTCGATTGTTTATATTTTCTATAATTATATATTTTTTATATATATTTTATATATTTCACAATTTTATACTTTTGTACACGACGAATTTTAGTCCTCTATCTACAATACTCTATACGTTTTCTGTACAATTTCTGAAATTTCTGATTTAGCAGCAGTGGAAATTTATTTATTCTCGACCAAATATTAATTTAATTACTGTGAATTGTTGTGACTCACCGCTGGTAGGAACGAACGACTGCTGTTGATTGAGAGAACGTTAAGTAAATTCTTGGAGGAGCTTACCTGCAACAGAAAAGTGAAACACCCATTGAAATATCGATCTCGCATTTCGAAATATACACACACACGTGAAATTTCAACAGAGAAAAACCAAGCTCCAGTTTGTAGGGCTTTTTATTTTATTTTATTTTTTTCTTTTTTAAATTACGACGCGCGTAATCTTGAAAGATCAACGCACGCATCGTTACTGGAGATATTTATTTAGTTATTTAAACGAACGTCAGTTTCAGAAAGCCAAATTTATTAAAAGTACGAAGGTGCATGGAATTTCTGCGCCGTAATCATATTTCATAATGTAAAACGTTACGTGAGTATTTTACGATATGAATTATTAATTACACTTTGCTTTTAAAATATACGATACGCGACACTTACTCCTGTTGCTCGTGCACGATTTCTCATTCTATGCGTAACGTAATAATTTTCGCTGCAAACTGCAGGCGGCGGATTATTCAATTCAATGGCACTCTTAACTAATAAATGTCAATTAAAAATCATCGCTCATTCACGTATGTAAATATTATTAAATTCTTCTACAGAAACAAAAAATAGTTCTTACAACGTCGCGATATTTATTATCCGATATTACCTAATATAAAATGCAGAGGGACACTCTAAAGATTTCATATTTTCAAAAAATTCCACGCACATCCTATCTCACGATCACAACCCCTAAAAGAAACACACGCATTTCCTATCAATCCTAAAAAAATCCCCCCAAATTCTCCCATTTTAAAACCCGACAGATAAAATACGTGAATTTTCTGCACGTAAACTGAAACAGCCACTTTAACAAAAATTTATTTCATTGCTCGAACGATCTGACCTAAATAAGAATAAAATCGATAAAAAAAAAAGTTCGAAACGGAATGAAAATAAAAGAAATAACAGAATTCGACTCCCCGAGAAACTATGATTATTCCAAATGTTTTGAACATCGGTCTACCGAGTGTCCGTGGATCGGAGGACGAGGCGATATATAAAGAGTCCAGAGACTCGAGAGATCGAGAATCGTGCCGCAACGAAGTGTCTCGATGGAAGGAAACGAAGGAGTCGCACGTAAGGGGGTAGCAAGGTGGCTAACGATAATTCCTATCCGGCGTCACGTGCCGCCAATATAAATCACCCCTTCCTTCCTCGCTACTCACCCCCCCCCCCCCACAATTACCTAATACGTCCGCCACGCTATCCCCAGACGCCATCGGTGCAAACCAACCCCTCACAACCCGCTTCGTGTACTTCGCCGGAGCAGCCCCTGCGGCCACTAACTTACGTCCCAACGCCAATAATAGATCCGGACAGGCTCGAACCGCGTCTGACGAATTCCCCTAAATCACCGTATTTCTCATCGAACCACCCCTGCCGCCCGGTCGTCGAGCACAAAGGGGTTGCGCTGGGATATTCGTCACGAAATCATTTCCTTGATGAGACATTAAACGCGCGTGGTGCACGTGTGGAGAATGTTGTTGAGATTGTCAATTTGCGGCAGTCAAATTTTGAATATTGAGTATCAATATCGGAAATAATAGTTCGTTCGAAATGTTTCAAAAGAAGCTTCAGAAAAAATTCAAATATTATCACACCGAAGGGGAGGAATTCGCGACGTGGATAAGTGGAAGGTAATCCAAAGTGGGCTAATTGCTTCTTCCTCCATCGAGACACGATATAATCCACGGGGTAAATTGTCGTGGGTGGGTGGGGTGGTGGGGTGCATCTTTGCACAACGTCAATTATCGACTCGACGTTCCATCGCGGCGGACATTAAAATTCACTGCGGATAATAAGATGCGTGGCGTCATTTCCCGGCGACTCCATCGCCGACGAGGCCATCGTCGCGCGCGGCGCGACTATAAATTTCCTAGCTAGAACTCGAGAACCAATTCCCATGCAATCCCATCCCATGGAAACTCGCTTAATCGTTGCTGGCCTTGCGGAAACATAAATTCGGCCCTCGTGCGCGTGAACATCGTCAGAACACTCGCGTTTTATCGAGAACGGTTGATCTCGCCGGTCGACGTTTACGATTAATTGACGAGGGCCACACTCCGTTTCGTGTAACTTCGTCGAGTTGAATTGAAATTTTCTTAAATTTGAGATTTATTTGAAAAAAGAAGAAGAAAAAGAGACACGACTGCGACTGCAGAATTACTGTAGATTTTTTTCTCTGCTTGCCAGACGAGAAAAACCGGGAAAAACCGGTAGCGATCTAATCTTGGTACTTTGGCACAATACTTTTACGGTTGGTACAACCGTACAAGGAGCAAAGAGCGGAGATTCTCAACGAAACATGGCAGTTATACGCGGAACTTAACAGCAGAACTAGAAAATTAATTCGACCAAAATATCACGCAATTTTATTGCAATACAATCAATTTTATTTTACCATTTTACCATTTTATCACGCAATTTTATTATAATACAATCAATTTTACTTTACCATTTTATCACGCAATTTTATTGTAATAATACAATAAATTTTATTTTACTATTTTATCACGCAATTTTATAGTAATACAATAAATTTTACTTTACCGTTTTACCATTTTGTCACGCAATTTTATTGTAATATAATCAACTTTACTTTACCGTTTTACCATCTTGTCACGCAATTTTATTGCAATATAATAAATTTTATTTTACCGTTTTATCATGTCACGCAATTTTATTGTAAAACAATAAATTTTATTTTACCATTTTATCACGCAATTTTATTGTAATACAATAAATTTTACTCTACCATTTTATCACGCAATTTTATTGTAATACAATAAATTTTATTTTACTATTTTATCACGCAATTTTATAACAATACAATAAATTTTACTTTACCGTTTTACCATTTTGTCACGCAATTTTATTGCAATACAATAAATTTTACTTTACCATTTTACCATTTTATCACGCAATTTTATTGTAATACAATCAACTTTACTTTACCGTTTTACCATCTTGTCACGCAATTTTATTGTTTCGTTACAATCAATCCGGTTCGCACGGGTCCAAATTCAAGAACCGATATTCATCGGCTTGTACTGGCAGGGGAGGAATTTCGGCGCGAAAATTCATAAGGGTTGAAACGAGAAATACTGGCTGATGGAGAGACCTTTTCTCACGACTTGCACGGTCACTTACCCCCCCCCCCCTTGCTGCAAACAGCAACCCCCTTGGACCGATACGAGTACGCTGCGCACATACGGCGCACGAGTCTCTCTTTTGCCATTTACTATGCCCGCAATAGATACCTAGGGCATTACTTTGCCCGTACGGTGCATAAGGGGATGGTTGGAGAGCACACTCCCCTTCGGTTGGAAACGACGTGGTCGATGCCTTGCCTTTCAGTTGCACACGTAAATTTTGACGTTTCTTAGCTCGAGGATATTTTACCCGCTAATAGGTCGGCCGAATCATTTGCTCCGCTACCGAGTACCCTATAAATACCGTTCATCCAACATTTTCTAAAATGTGACGTATAAATCGGAATTTTATCTTTTGATGTTCAACGCGTTCAATCTGACGCGCTTTTCCATGTTTTGCAATGGTGAAACACGGTGTGGATGTAGGATAGCATAAATACTTAACGCCTTTGAATATATAAGGATAACACGATTCTTTTAAATATTATTAGGGGTATTCATAATAAGAACGTTAGTTGATAAGTGACGTCGTTTTTTTTTTTTTAAATTTAATAAACACTGCCATATAGTGGCAATAATTTAACTTGTTATAACATAATTTGTATTCTAGTTAAATATATTGACATTCAGTATGCTTATTGTTAATTATAGATTAAAATAGATAGTATAGTATAGTATAGTATAGTATAGTATAGTATAGCATAGTATATACTCTATAACACAGTATTAACTCTTAAATAAAATAAAATTTTCTACAGTATCAAAAACCGTATATTTTATGCTTTTAAACATATAATTGCAAACATACGTGTGAAACGTGTCAAACGAACTTTCGTCTCAACATATTTGTCGGTAATTTCTGACCTCGACTGACAGAAATCTGGAGTTTTTTTTTTTTTTTTTTTTTGAAAAACAAATTGTATCTCGTTTCAACAATTATTTCCTGCGCGATGCATTTCGATAAAAATCGCCCGATTTTACACGTTCTACGCAGTAGGATTTCCACAATGTCGATACTGGACACCACCGATAGCGGATTATGTATTAAAATACGGTATCAAGCGCGGTTATTGAGTCTCAAATATTAACAGCGTTCGACCAATTATAACGATACAGCCGTAGCGATACGTTTCAATAACAGAGTTCAAGGATAGCCCGTGTGGAGACAAGAAAGGAAAACATTCGAGAATTCTTGGAAATACTTGATACGCGATTTCTCGAGAAACTATCCGCGGAATATTTACGAGGCACGACACTAAACGAGTTTGAAAAAAATTCTATACGAATAAAGATTGCTTTCCTCTCTCGCTCTCTGTGACTCGACAGCTTGTATCTGTGTGAGAAATCTTTAAATATTATATGTAACGAGTCGATACATTGTTTGATAGCATAATCGGTTAGACAACAATGAGAGTTGTTAAATAACAACATACATAAATCCTCCGATTCGAAATTCTTATTTAGCCAATGAAATTCAATTGGACACAGAATATTGTGCTAAATGAGAACGATCAGCAATAATAATTTCTTCTGAAATAACCATTCGAACCATTGAAACAAATAATTACTCAATTTGAAACTAATCAATTATACAAATACGATGCACACTCAAAGTAAAATATCTTTTACTTAAACCATAACTTAATACAAAGTTCACAGTCGAATCTCCTTCAAATCTCTTCAACGATCGAGAGAAGAAAAAAAAAAAAAAAAGAAAATAGATCCAAAGAGCTATCTTTGCCTTATGCATAAATCGTACGCAATGTTGCGCAATATCAGCCAACGTTAGCCAAACTGCTAAATGCTATCATACTGTCGCAAAATGATCTTCACCTTGTTGGATCCGTAGAAAGGAATGGCGAACTGCGA